AGAGTTTGTCTATTCCTCCCGTGTGCTCCCACTCCCTATCCTACTATGAATCAGCCTCCTTATATCAGAGAAAACATTTGGCATTTGTTTTTTTGGGATTGGCTAACTTCACTTAGCATTATCTTCTCTAACTCTACCCATTCACCTGCAAATGCCATGATTTCATTCTCTTTTATTGCTGAGTAATATTCCATTATGAATACAAACAACAATAAGTGTTGGCGAGAATATGGGAAACAGGTACACTCATACATCACTGGTTAGACTACAAATTAGTGCAGGTAATATGGAAAGCACTATAGAGATTCCTTGGAAAATTGGGAATGGAACCACCATTTGACCCAGCTATCCGTCTCCTTGGTCTATACCCAAAGGACTTAAAAACAGCATACTATAGGGACACAGTGACATCAATGTTTATAGCAGCACAATTCACAATAGCTACACTGTGGAACCAACCTAGATGCCCTTTAATAGATGAATGGATAAAAAAAAATGTGGATCAATTCTTAAATGGAAGAGTCTAGCTAAGTATTTGAGACTAGAAATGCTTTTGGATCAGTGTTGTCATGTGCAGTGACCAGACATAATCCTTTTTCTCACCTGATTAGTGGATCTCTTAGAGTTGAATACAACAAATGAAGTTTTCAAACAGCACAAGCTGAACCAAAATGATCAGCTCCTCAGCGTTCCAGATGTCATCAACTGTCTGACGACAACTTACGATGGACTCGAACAAATGCACAAGGACCTGGTCAACGTGCCACTCTGTGTGGATATGTGTCTCAACTGGTTGCTCAATGTGTATGACACGTGAGTTTCTATTTTTTCATTAAATTACAACCATTGGATTAAATATGTTGATAACAGAAAGCATCTAATATTTAAAGATATTTTTAAAAGCATGCATTTTTTTTTTTTACAAAGTACTTTCATAGTATTCATCTCAGTGGAAATATTTATTTTAGATGTTGAAAATAAATATCTTTCCAAATCACTGAACTCTTAGCAAACAATAGATGAAAAGGAATATGCAACTACTATTTGAAGATTTTGCTTCAGTTTACAAAGACTGTCAAATCTGTAGTATTCTTTGTCAAGAAGCTAGAGAAATCAAAGGCAGCCAAATCTGATTTCCTTCTCCTCCTTCTTTAATGTCTTATATTATTTCTTTTCTAAAAAAGAAAAAATCTTGTATTATTGTTATGAACTAAAATAATTTATGAGCTCATAATAATCTGTTCTTCAGTCTTAGTGTGACATCTTAAGAGCAATTTGAATGGCAATGAACTCGATTTAAATTGTCTTTTGATATTAGCTTATTTATTGCCGGGGTGGTTATGTGTATATACGGTGTTTTAAATAATGTATTCTACAGGACTCTTTCTATCTGTAATTTAATTTGGTGCTCACTGTTACATAAAGAGCACTCTCAACTTCCAGCATAACTCATCTGCCATTAATTTGGCCCTTGTGATTATGGCAATGAATTTGTGAGCTAATCAGTTCTAGAAAGACTTGCTGTGGGCTGACATTTCTGAAACACTAGGAATTATTCATTCTTCTGGTAGGGGGTTAAAATATGCAAAGATGAAGCAGGAAAATTAGGACTGTTGCCTGTCTTGGAATCTAAAAGTTACTGTCTCTTAACTAGCTGTAGGAAAATTTGTGTTCATCAGCTTTTGTTTAGAAAGAAGATAGATTATAGTTCATTACCCCACTTATTTAGCAGCTGATTGATTCTGTGTAAGAAATAAGTGATGGTGACAGAGGTTTATAAATGATTTATTTAAATTTTYATTTTTTATTAGAAAATTTTTTTTATCTTTCAGCATTCACAAATATTATAAAGTCTTTTTAAAAAAATAATAAAATATCCATTTTGTGCTTAAGGGCTCTTAAGAAACTCACTGACACATGAGTCTCAGTTACCATAATGAATATGGAATTTACTACATCCCTGTCTGAGGTCTATGAATACTTTTCTTTTTAATGCAAATTTTTATTCTCCTAGAGTAAAATATTCCCATATATTAGTAAAATATTCCCATTAACCATCCTTAATTTTAATTTTTAATTAACCATCCTTAATTTGCTCATCAATTTTTTTTTTAAATCCTCAAGAGACATTTTCTTATAGTAAATTCACTGAAATAGCTGGTCAGTTAGGTGTTTTAACTGCACATGCTTATACTTAATTTTACATCCCAGGAACAATCCTAAATTCGCAAAATATTGAGGAACTTCATTTAGCCCTATGGGGTATGGTTGTAGTGTATGTCTTTCACATTCTAAGGAAGAACCAGAGAAGAAATTGAAATTTCCCTGCAGCATTATCTGTGTCTCTGACATGCTACATTATTTTTTTTTCTCAGAGAAAAGTTTGTTTTAGAGAAAACACAAAGGAGAAGAAAGAACCAAAAGGCAAAGCTGACCTAACCCCCAGGACTCATACATAGGAGTGGGCAGGGAGCGTGCTTCTGTAGCATTGAGGAACACACAGTCCATACAGCACCTGACCCCACTTTATTAGATTTCTAGGGCTTCCATAACTAAGTGGGATGGACTGGGCAGCTTAAATGGCAGAAGTTTATTTCCTCCCAGTTCTAGAGGCTAGATGTCTGAGGTCAAAGAGAGAGCAGGGTTTCCCCACCTCCTCCTAGACCTCTCTTTTTGGTTTGTCAATGTCTGTCCTCTCTGTGTCCACACTTGGTCTTTCTTCTGTGCTATCTGCTCATCTCCTCTTCCTATAAGGATACCAGTCACAGGAATTCAGGACCCACCCTAATGACCTCATTTTAAGTTACTTAATCATTTAAAGACCCTATCTCCAAGTACAGTCACCTGCTGAGATACTGGGAGTTTGGACTTAAGCATATGAATGTAGAGGAACACAGTTCAGTTCAACCCACACGTGTGCTATTTTCACTGGACAGCCCAAGGGAATAGTGCCACTTATCTGGGCAGGAACCAGCATGTGAAATGTTGTGATTCATATTCTAGGGAGTTAAATGTTAGCTTAATTCCACCTCCCACCATTAAACGTGGAGACATGGAAATACTATACTAAAGTGCTGCTTTTTATTTAGGATAGTGTCTTGAAATTTCTCATTTTTCATTTTCAACAGAAAAAAATGTCTGCAGGACTTATTTCCCTTCCATGCCAAAGAAAGGTGGGGTCAGATGGTGTCCATTTAGTCTAGCTGTCTCTCTTGGAGAGGAGTACCATGAATTAATCTGAGGAAAAGAGCAGTTACTTTTTTGATGTTTTTTTTTTCATATGTGCGGAATTAATTGCCCAAGTTTCTCAATTAACTTTGATTTACTCATTTACATACATAATAGTTATTAACTTTTTTCAAGTTATAGTTCTTTTAAAGAAATATGATGGAATCTATGATCCATTAGAAGTCCATGTACCATAGAAATGATACTTTCATTCATCGATTTTGATATTTGTTCATTATAGTAGTCAGCTTCCCATCATTGTAACAGATACTTGAAATAACCAATTTATACAGAAAAAAGGGTTCATTGGGGCTTATAGTTTTAAAAGGCTTCAATATATAATCAGTTGGCCCCATTGCTTTGGGTAAGGCATCAGATCATGCTGGTCATATATGGCAGAGCAAAATCACTCACCTCATGGCAAGGAAGACAGAGAGAGAGAAAGAGGAAGAGGCCAGGTCCTACAATCCCCTTTAAAGCCATGTACTCAATGACCCAGAGATCTCCCAGTAGGCCCAGCTGAAAATTTTCACCACTTCACAATAGTACCCCACTGGGGACCAAGTCTCTAACATATGGGCCTGTGGGGGACATTCCAGATATAAACTATATCCATTGACCATATATTTTTGACTGGCTTATTTTGTGATGTATCATGAAAGCAATAAAGGCATTTCAGTTTCAACTACCTCTTGAAATAATGAGTGGTATAAATATGGTTTAGATCATAGATTTCTCTTAAGAAGAAGGACTTTGAGGATCTTAGAGTCTGCCATCTTTATTTTACTGATTGAAAAACTGGTGGGAGACCATTTATCCACAGCCACTTGTTACAGATTTAATGATAACTATGGATCTAATATTCAGATATTTTTGGTAATCAATTGATTATTCTTACCATCTTATAATGGGAAAAATACTTTATAAATAATTTCAAGTAAACTGTCTCTTTCAAGTTTTAAAGTGTACCCAACTCCTCTTAATATTCTGAATTTTATGAGAAAACAAAATCCATGTTCATCTGTTGTAAATGACAAGAATTCAGAGTTGGTTTTGGTTGCTATGTGATTTGGCAGCCACTTAACTTTGGAATCTCAGTTTCTCACATGAAAAATGGAGATAAAAATGTCTGCTCAGCTTATCCCATAAAAGGTGACTGTGAAGGGCAAATGTACTAATATATGTAAAAAGAACTTTATCAGCCATAAAGATAAAATTGATTCAATTTATGAATTCAGTCTTATTCAGTCTTCATCTTCCCAGGTTAAAAAATCTTAATTTAGCAATCTTCCTTCCAGATTTAATGGAAATCAAAAGCGTTTAAATCATGATTTAAAGCAATAGTCTGGAACACTTCGTTTAAATATTTTTTTCTTTACAGAGAATATTAGCCCCATTTGTTGTAGTGTCAAATCATTTCCCCCACCCCTTGCTGTTCCAGTATGAATGTAATTTTAAAGATACTTAACTTTCCAGTTAAACTAAATCAGAAGTTACTTATAAAAAGCCATCAAGAGGAACCAAATACTTAAATTTGGGCTGTATGACTCATTCATACATTTTATTGGCTCCCTATTGTCTCTTAATTTGGATATCTTATTTGACCTCAAAACCATCTATCCTGTGGCCCCATATAACCAGTATAACCTAATCAACCAGTTAATCCCAATGCAAGTTCCTTCCCCACCCTAACCATCTTGCATCTGGTGATCCCACCCCTGCCTCTTCCCCTTGCTCAGACTTTTCCTGCTGTACTCTACTTTTTTCTAATTGAGATAATCCAGCTGTGTCCTACTGTCCCTGCCTGATTTTAGACTTACTTTCTGTATCTAAGGTCATGAGACTGATGACTAGTCAACCAARGTGATGTTGTATTTCAGTCTTCACTTCCATTTACAAAGGCTGGCCTCCTATTTTCTCTACTTATTTCTTGTCTTACCTTCCTCAATAGTGTGTGAGCCCATCATGGGTAGGAATCAGGACTTCCATGTTTTTTTCTTGGTCCCTGCAGTACATAGAACATGCTGGGATCCGAGTAAGCCTTCTTAACCATTGATGGTGGAAGAATGAATGAATGATTGGCATTTTCAGTTGTCTTCCTGATGATGTTCCTTTCTCATCATGTCATGGAGGCCACATTAAAATGCATATCATTTTGATTATTTTTCTCTTAAGGGATTGCTTTGTCTTCAGCCACATTCATGTACTAGTCTGAGATCATTCTATAGCCTTTTGTTACTTTCTGGGAGTCTATTGTCTGTGGTCAGAGAATAAAAACTTTCTGATTTTACAAAGGAAGAAAGCAGGCATTGTGTATTTCATGTGATAATTAGAGAACTCTTAAAAATGTTAAGTAGAAACACAATTTATAGCATGGCTCAGTTTAGAGATTAATTTGAAAGTGATATTTTTTAATTGTGAGAAGTTGGGATGAGTATTTTAATTTAGAAATTATGCTACAGGGCTATATTTTTTAAAACATTTAAGTACTTATTATTTCAAAGGTCAATTCTGAATGTTATATATATAAATAATTAGGATTTAATAAACTCATTGGATATGACAATGGAATTATAAACCCCTAGGCTTTTGAGAGACTACTTTAAAAATTCATTTCTCCAATTTCTAATCATGCTTTCTTTTATAATTTATTTTATGGTATGTGTCATGGTTTACATATAGAAACTTATTTGGGTATGTACAATTTGAGAATGAAAAAAATATCAACTGAAATTACCAGTACAAATACCAACAAAGATAGGCATGGTGGCACATGCCTATAGTTATAGCTGCTCAAGAGGCTGAGGCTGGAGGATCATGAGTTTAAGGCCAGCCTGAGAAACTTAGTAAGACTCTGTTTCAAAAATAAAAAWAAAAAATTAAATAAAAAAGGGTAGAGTTTTAGCTCAGCAGTTGAGTATTGGCTAGCATGCACAAGGCCCTGAGGTTCCATTCCCTGTACCACATAAATAAAAAACAAAAAAAAAAGCAAAAAAAAAAATCAAGATTTAAATTTAATTTGGAAATATGATTACTGAAAATTACAAATATTTATGTTTTTAATATATTAAAAGTTAGTAAATCTTAAGTATTAATATGATTCTGTAAACATTTATTTTCAGGTTTGAAGCATCTTACACTTGTACATTGAAAACATATCCTAAGAAAATCAACAATAAAAACCTGAAAATTGATCCCAAATCTGAAATAATAAATATAGCAAAAAAAAAAAAAAAAAAAAACCTTCTTTCTGGACTGTGTATTATTCCATTGGAATGATTGTTACTTATTAGCTTTGGTGAATGTCTTAGCCATTCTTTGATAAGTTTGGAAATAAAGACAACTCTCTGGTTTTAAAGATAATGTTTTTTCTTCTAATCAACTTAGAAGTGAAAGTGAAATGGTTTCTTATTGGCATACTGTGAAATAATTTCTTAGCTTTGATTAGTAAATGCAATCTATTAATTATAATTGGATTGTTTCACAAACACAGATTCCACACCTATCTGTTTAAGGTCATTGACTATTAAAATTGCAATAGTCATCTATAAAGATGGCACTGAAAGAACCAAAGTAAATGAAGACAGCAAGTTCAAAGTTCTCAGTATGTTGTTGATTTTCTAGTCAGATTTCTTAAATTTGTTTTTAGATATATCAGTAGCCCTTTCTTGCTATATTGTCACATGCATGTTATCTGTAGCTTTAGTGTTCTATTTTGATTCTTGTATTTATCATTACCAGATGTTAATCCAAAGCATTTATAAAAATGAAATCTTTTTAGCTTTATAATTATTGTTTTCATTTTGCTTTAATCTGTTCTTAGTTCATATGTTGTGTGAAAAGTTAAATCAAACACAGTTAAGATATGTCATGAACTCAGGTTACCGGTTTAATATTAATTGCTCATAGTGAAAAGTTGACTCTTTAGTAGTTTACTCTCAAGAAAATAGATATTCAAGAATAATTAACATACAGTTTTAAATGCATCTGACATATTGAGATTTTTATAATTTCAGGGGTCGGACTGGCAAAATTAGAGTGCAGAGTCTGAAGATTGGATTGATGTCTCTCTCCAAGGGTCTCTTAGAAGAAAAATACAGATGTATGTAAGACCTTTCATATGCCAACAGTACTGTTAATAATAATGATTATAACAGTTTACTTAATTTACTATACTTGCTAGTAATAATAGTTCCATTTTTTAAACCCTTACCATTACATATGCCTGTTTGGACAACAGGTGACAGTGCAAAGAGATTTGGATTTGCATGCAGTGAAAGGCTGATGGTAGAACCCCAAGGTGGAGGAGTCTTGATGGAATGAGGGMCAGTCACAAATTTTTATCTAATTTAATCCTTAATTTCCCCATGAATGTAGACATTGTGATTTCCATTTTCAAGGTGAGACAATTAATGGTGACACGTTGAGATCTAGTCAGAGGCTGYAGAGCTAGTATGTTGTGGGGCAAGAATTAGATATGAGATTATTTTTACTTCAAAGCCCAAGACTTTTCTATTTGTATGTAATTCCCAGGGTTTGGGGGAGAAAAAGAATATTAAGATAATCTAAAACACCTAAGAACACAAAAAAATGATCCTAAATAATTATATTTTATAGTTGTGGCAAAATAAAAGGTGGTATATATTTTAGATTTCATTATGTTTGTTTATAGTCACCAAATAAATCAGCAGTGTCCCTGTAGCTGTCAGTTAGTGAAAGACATCGTGGCATTGCAAAGGGCATATGCTCAGGAATAGGGACACCTCCTTTTAGATCTCTACTGATTAATGGCTGAATGTCATTGAGCAGGTTACTTGATTCCTTGAGTACTGTCAGCTAAGAGATGACATTGCTCCCATTTTACAGTCCAGGAAGCTGAAAGAGGATTTTCTTTAACTGAAAAATGAAGCTAATAATTCTTTCTTGAAAAGAAATTAGAGATAATATGCTAAAAAAATTCCTCAAAATAGCATTTGTTGAATAAGTTGTAGCAATTGCTGCAAAATGTCTTAATTTAATTTTGTCAATAGAAAGTAAGTAACTTGATCCTGCCACATGTATTCTCAGATGATTCTATATAGATGAATGTATGCATTTGGAGGGGAAAGTGAGAGCTATTTCATGAATGGAGACATACCAAAATATAAAAGGAGAGGTTAGGGGGTGTAGGTCAGTGGTAGAGCATGTGCTTAGCATGCACAAGGCCCTGGATTCAAACTCCAGTGCCAAACAAACAAACAAACAAACAAACAAACAAAGTCCACAACAAAAACCCAAGAGGATTTGATCACAGGTCCTGACAACTTAGCTTACAAGAATGTCAATGGAAAGAGATGTGGATTTGTATGAAAAAAAAAGCTGATGTTAGGATCAGGTGGAGGGGGCATGAAGGAGAGAAAGCCTAGAAAGCTATGCAGAAATGTGCTTTACATAAAGCTTTGGTTTTGTGGCACTTTATCCAGAACTGAGTCGTTACCATCATAATCATAAAAAAATATAATTTTATTTTAAATATTTATTTTTTAGATGTAGGTGGACACACAATATCTCTATTTCATTTTCTTTTTAATGTGGTGCTGAGGATTGAACCCAGTACCTCACCCATGCTAGGTGAGCACTCCACCACTGAGCCACATATACTTTTTTAAAAATATTTATTTCTTTTAGTTGTACACAATGCCTTTATTTTTATTTATTTATTTTTATGTGGTGCTGAGAATCGAACCCAGAGCCTTACACACACCAGGTGAGCGCTCTACTGCTGAGCCACAACCCCAGTCCCCCCACATATAATTTTGAAAGCCAAAAAATGTTAACATTTCTGTAATGATTGGGAGAGGAATATGTTAATGAAAGCATCGATGTTCCAAAATTAGAAAGATTCTTTTTTTAAAATCATCTGTGACTTGGGGTTTKAATGTGTTCCTGAAAGAATTAGGGTTCTCTACAAGTAAGAGTTACAATGTCGAATTTCAAAATGAATGCAAATTCAACCTCAAAGCTTACATTTTCTATAATTCAGCATTAAATGTTCAGATTTTGGCAATGGATGCAGAAAGCCCTGCAATGAAAATTTCTGCTATTTTATATAATTCATGATGTATGCCATTTTAGGACTTAATTAAATAAGAAATCTCGTGGGTTGCCWTCTTTAATCTAAATCTTTACTGGGATATTGAGACTCTGGGAATGTTCTGAGGTTTTGTTTTGCCTTTCTATGTTGAGATTCTTAGCAACTCTGATTCCAGTTTTGATTTCCCCAGTGAAATCAGAACATCTTCTTCTTATTATTTCTTTTAAAAGAATTTATATTCAAGGCAATTTGCTCTTTAAACTCAGTGACGGAGGCGCCACTYGGGGTCAATTGTTATCTGTCTGAACATCGATTTTGCAGTGGCCAAAGTCTGTGTCTTCACCCCATGACACCTCCCTGTCTCTCAGTACCTTCCTGAGAATATCCTTGGAGTAGGTTCTAGCTGTCCCCCTTCCTCCCTGCTTGTAACTTGAGTTTCTTCTCAAGCTCGTCAAAGGCACATGCATAGAGCATCCTTTTGAATGGCCATTTACATTTTTTTCTGTGCTGATTTATTGGAATTTGGGGCTTTAAATTGTGACTTTCTTCTTTTGACCCATCCCTACATCCTGATGGTAATGTTAAAATGTGAACTTTTACAAGAATTTAGAACAATATCATGGTGTTTAAGGACACTTTTCTCTCTRTGTTTTGTGAGGAGTCGCTCCTTCACAGTAGTATGGCAGCATAGCTCTCTGCCTGAAAAGATGAGAGTTGGGCATGGTTGATCTTGCTGGAAAAGTGCACTCTAAAGATTATGACACATATGCACCACCTCTGGATTTACTGATAAGCCTCTTCCCAGGAATGGGTTTACAAGAAGCATCATAAGAAGAYTCCTCAAGAAATATTTTCTGTATCTGATAGTCTCATTTTTAAATAATGAAAAGAAACAAGTGGCACTCTAAGCAAATCTAAGTAAATAAATGGTAATAAAAATTAAATTTATCTTAATTGAATTTGCTTTTCCTATGTATGCTTGTAATTAAAGCCATGTTTCATTATAATTACTGTGTCAATACCACTGAGCTTGCTTCAGTTGTTGTTTGAAAAATTCACTGTTGTCAGTGTTAGATTTACCATCATTTCTCTTTAAGACTGATATATGTTGATCTGATAGTTAGCAGATATTGTTTAAAAATGATTTTTTGAAATCCAATAAATATTTACTACCCTTTCTTCTCTTTATAAAAAATTTCACAAGAAGAGCATTTAGAGTTTGTGTGCTTTTGAATTTTTAGACCTTAAAAATTCCTTCCAAAAAGTATTAATTTCTATAATAAAGCAGGTTGTTRTTATTTGATATTTCTCTGTATCCCCAAAGTAACTTATCTTAGTAAGTTACTTACTTTATTAAGTTGTTAACTTTATTCTAGGGAATATTGTAATAATTTTCATTTTTAAAACATTGCATTGGGCTGGAGATGTGGCTCAGCGGTAGCGCGCTCGCCTGGCATGCGTGCGGCCCGGGTTCGATCCCCAGCACCACATACCAACAAAGATGTTGTGTCCGCCGAGAACTAAAAAATAAATATTAAAAATTCTCTCTCTCTCTCTCCTCTCTCACTCTCTCTAAAAAAAAAAAATAAATAAATAAATAAAACATTGCATTTAGTGAACAAAAGATAATCCAGTGCTAGAAAGAAGAGTTTTAATTTATTGATTTAAGAAAGTTAGAAAACAAATCAGTGCTTTTGTTTCGTAAATACAAAAACTGAAAAAGTACAAGAATACACAATGTTTTTAGTCTTTTAAATTTGAAAAAGAAATATTTATTCACATGAAATAAAATGAACATAATTTTTATAGCTAGTAAGAAAGAGACTGGCCTAAAAAGAGAAAGCGCATCTATTTATACCTTTTCTCAAGGGAAACCATTAGTGAAACCATAAAATTAACCCATGTGTATTTATTGTGATATTTAAAAAGGAAATTTGTATTAATTGATCTGTTTGTGTGCAGTTGTCTCCTGGATTCTAATGATCTTAATATTCGACATGTCTTTAATGAGGAACTAGTCTACAGACACCCACGATATTAAGATCATCAGAATTCAGGAGACAATTAATCTGATTCATGTCCTCCTGAATATTTTGTTTTTAATCTACATAGTTCTGTCCAGATTACCCAGGATATACTTTAAGCAAAAAAAAAAAAAAAAAAGGCAGATGGACATTAACCCTGTGTCTTTTCCCCTTATAGATCTCTTCAAGGAGGTGGCAGGGCCAACAGAGACCTGTGACCAGCGGCAGCTGGGCCTGTTACTTCACGATGCCATCCAGATCCCTCGGCAGCTGGGGGAGGTCGCTGCTTTTGGAGGCAGTAACATTGAGCCCAGTGTCCGCAGCTGCTTCCAGCAGGTAAAGCTGAGGCCCCCTGGTATGCCCCCTGACAAGGGGAGGACTTCAAGGACACTCCAAGAAGTAGAATGGGGTTTGGACTAGAGCTGAGAGAGAGAAGATTTGGGGTATTGTCCCAATTAATTAATATTTTATTTCTAAAGGCACGTTTAACTCAAAGAATAGGGATGCTTGCAAAGACACCGCCTCCTTTTTTTTTCTTTATGAAGTATTAATCGGATTGCTATGTTTGGCCCTGCCTTTGCCCTGTCCTCACCTCCTGTCACTCATCCCCTGTGCTTTCCAGCCAGGACGGTTTAGTTCCTTGATTCCTGCCTTTAGGCAATGTTTGGAGTGCTCTTCCTTTCCCTCCACCTGCAAGCCCCTGTTGTCCTCACTTGTCCTATTCCATTTTTAGGTGTGACCTTAACTCTTGAATCCTCTGAAAATCCTCCTCTGACCTCTTCCGATGAGACTAGTTTTTGCTACTTTTCGCCTTAACCCCCTCTACCTCTTTCTTCTCATGCTCCTCACAGTTAAAATTTCATGCTGAACTACGGAATCAGTTGTTTCATGTTTGCTTCTTCCGTATGCACCAAAGCTCCAAGAGGATAAGAACAGCGCCTGTCTGTTTATTGTTATATCCTAAGTCTCAGGCTGTTTTAATAAAATGCCACAAGCTGGGGTGGGGTGGCTTATAAACAACAGAAATTTATTTCTTAKTTCTGGAGGCTGGGAAGTCCAAGACCATGGTGCCAGCCTGGTTTATATACAGCTCTTCCTTCTTGTGTCCTTATCTGTGTAAGCTGCAAGCGAGCTCCATTGGGCCTTTTTTATAAGATTATTAGTTCCATCATGAGGTCTCCACCCTCATGACCTAATCGCCTTCCAAGTGTCAATATATGAGTTTTAGAAGGACATAACATTCAGATTGAAGTGCATTCATTCCTACAATACCTCAAACATCAGAACTTCTTTAATAACTATTAGCTAAATAAATGCATAAAAATACCTTGAAGCTCTTTGTAAATAAGATTTTTAAAAAATTTAAGTTAATGATATTATAAATATCTTTCCTTTGAGAATATATGCATAAAAGGAGAACAATGTGCAAAGTTTTATACAGATCTAAGTTACTAATTTTCACCCAAGAAAACACTTTAGTTTCTTTTTAATGCTTACTGTGTATAAAGATAAAGACATTTTAGAAATGTTACTGRTGTTATACATATGCATGAAGTACAAGCCTACAAATATTTTGCCAAAACGTAGCCAGTGATTTATCACTGCTGAGAAAAAAGAAATGCTCACACCGTGTCTTTGAGGAGAATCAATGTCATGGGTTATTACATTTTATAATGGCACTTTTTCTTATTTTAGACATAAAAAATTCCAAATGATTTTTCTAGATATTATTTATAGTCATGTATGTTGATTCATAGGCTGACCTCAACAATAGCAGAATGATGTTGATGAAATTTAACTTTGCACATTACAAAAATTCCTCAGGATTTGAAGAGGGGCTGAGAAGTTTTATCTTATTTATCATGTCAAAGTTGGAAATCCTGCAAAGACATCCATAGCAATATGTGATGATGTGGCAGGACTGAAGCAGGATCAGGAATAATGGCTCTCAGTTAGCATTTCTAGTGGCCTTCAAGTTTGTGAGGTTATCAAAGGTCTTTACTACACACACTTTTGCCACCTTAGATACTTGTGTGAAAAAAATTGCCTAGACCCATGAAATCTTGATTTTTGCTTTTGTTTTTAAAAATCCAAGTACTAAKGAATGGGATTTTTTTCTTCCTATATGACAATTTCTGTTTTTTCTATTTGTAAATTCTAGAATTTTCTTGCCTTAAAGAACCTTAAATCTTTTTTAATTTTACTGACCTAGAAAGAGTTACATAACTTTTCTCTTAATTGTGCACAGATTTTCAGAGGATTATAAAGCAGTAACACTTACAACAGCTTAAATGAAGAAATGTTCTTCACTTTTTTTCCCCCTTTTCTTTGCAGTGCTGAGAATTAAACCCAGGGCCTTGCACATGCTAAACAAGTGCTCTACCACTGAGCCATACTCCCAGCKCCTCACTTTTAATGCATTTGCTTCTTTATCAGAATAACAACAAACCAGAGATAAGTGTGAAAGAGTTTATAGATTGGATGCGGTTGGAACCACAGTCCATGGTCTGGCTGCCAGTTTTACATCGRGTAGCAGCAGCTGAGACTGCAAAACATCAGGCCAAATGCAACATCTGTAAAGAGTGTCCAATTGTAGGATTCAGGTAAGAAGTACTGCCGGTGCTGGCATTAGACTGCTTTCTGTTCTATGTATGTAATCTCCCTGAATGTTCATCATCCTTCTACATCATTCCTGTTTGGGGCTTTGACTCCCTAAGTACATGGGGAATGCTCAGTGTGTTCCACCCATCTAAAAATACCAYCCTTCCAGTAACCACTACATGAACTTATTTTATAATTATCATGGTTATTTTTACTACTTTGATCCAGAGTCTCTATTTACTTAGGTCACAGAAATGTTCATGTAGGATATAATGRCATGACTGGTTATAAACATAGAGTCCTGATGGAATGTGGTGGATGTTCCAAGGTCTTTGGGATGAAATTTAGTAACCAGGAAGCAACACTCAAATACTACTTGAGAAATAATCAGATTACTGGTAAGGATGTGCAGACAGCTTATTTAGGAAATCTAACTTGAGGAAAATACGTTAGGATCTTGAAAACGGTGAGATGATAGGTGATAAATGTTGCTGCCTCCTTTACTCTTGTGTATTTTCACAACTTTCCACATTGAGAATATGGTACCTCTGCAAATTTTAGTTTCAGAAGAAAAGAGAAATAGAATAGATAGCATTTTTTAGGAACAACCCCAAGCCAACATTTCTTCAAACTAATGGTGACTTCGTTATTACACAGATTGCACAGGGAGAAAATAAATGTTAAGAACAATTCCARTAGTAAAATGGGGCCAATATAGAATAGGTCTGTTTTGCTCTTAGTAGTAAAAAGATATCTCTCTTTCCTCTAAAATTAAAGGGAGAATGAACAGCCAGCTATAGAAATAAAGATAGAGGAGTATGTACTTTAGAGAATAATCTTAACTTGTCCAGGCTGCCTCTGTACCAAGCTCCTGTTCTCTTTCTCTCTGTGTGTTTGTGTGTGTGTGTGTGTGTGTGTGTGTACATATACACATATATTTTCCCCTCCCCCTATGTGTACGTACATATATATACACATATTCATATTCTGAACTTTTGCAAATGCTACTAGAATTTTTCACTAATTACTTCCAAAATTGAATTTTAACATCTTAGAGCTCTAGGGTGTTTGCTAAGCTGAGAATTTCCATTAGAATTGTATATAGCTACTTTCCATTAGAATTGTATACTAATACTTAATGGTGGAATATTTTATTATTTAATTGTAATAGCATATACAGATTRGAGATTTAATTCCTTTCATGTTCACAAGTGCAGAGATAGGAAATCCAGGACTGATATCATTGCTCCATGATCATCCGAATTCCTAGTTCTGTCTTTGTGCTCTGTCATCCCTAGTGTATGGCTTCCATTTCCATGGTTATCTCACAGGAACAAAAAGGCTTTTCCGGATGTCAGGACATTTTCAACAAGGAGAAAGAAGGAGCTTTCCTCTTCCCAGCGAAGTCAGTTCCTTGCAATTACATCTAGAAACCTCACCCACCAACTTCAATAATACGTGTTGTGCTGGTTACATCTACCAGCAAGAAAGACTGAATTGGTATTTTAGAAGGGTGCATTGTTAAAATATGATAATAATACAAGGGTTACCTTTGATGAGAGAATGGCTATCGGCAATAAACATAGTGCCACTTCAAAGAGACAACATCAATCATGTTTGTCCATCCATGCTTATAGGTCAAGAAATAGTAGTGGTACTATTTCAAATCAGTAGATTCTTGACAAAGTAAGCTGACTGTAGTGTAGACAGATTGATTTTCTTCAAATCAGCTTATGAGTGATTTTGTAGGTCATTATAGAAAYTACTCAGCACTTCATAGTTTATAACATTAACCTCACATAACCTTTGCATTTTGCTTCCATTTTCACTCTATTAATCCGATCATCTAATTTTTTTTTCTATAGATAGATATAATTTATTCTCTTAGTTCCAACAAGCCATGCTCTCAAGGTGGAAGATTTGGGAGATGTTTTCCACTCAAACCCATAGAAATTTAATGTCTAGAGTTTCACTACTCAAAATAAGATTCTGCAAATGGAAGTCAGCATGGAGTGTTRTTATTATGTGAGAGTTTTAAAAACAAAAGAATGTAGTGATTAAGGTTTTATTTAATTGACTATTTGCTACAGGGTATTTTTTGCTTTTTAATTTTTTTCCTAATGAATCTTTAAAACCAAATTTAGAAATGCTCATTGTGAGAAATAATACCTTTGTGAAACATTTTAAGATTCTTTTTGTTACCCCCATGGTATTGGGGATCCAATCCAGGGCTCCACATGCCTGAAAAGCACTGTACCATTTAGCCACATTTCCATCCAAAGATTCATCTCTTATTGATGGTATAAAATTTTAAAACTTGACGTGTCAATTATCATAGCTCGCTTTTCTTCATCATTTTTTTATTCATATTCAAACATCACAGGAAATCTGACATGGATATTTATTTTCTCATTGTAACTAAACATACCGAAACATGTTTTAGATAGAGACTTAAATAAATTTTTAGATTCTTAAACTCCAAAAATTCATTTTTCTGCCAATTGGAAAGGTGGTTTTCTCTTTGTCCTAATTTGAAGCTGAGTTACTAAACAAATTCTGTGTATGTGGCGAATGTAACTTTATTTCCTTGGTGATCTGGATTAATGAAATTCCTTACTACAGATGATTGATGTAGACTAATAGGAATGCAATGCAATGAATTTTCCCTTTTTCTCTCCAGGTATAGAAGCCTAAAGCATTTTAACTATGATGTCTGCCAGAGCTGCTTTTTTTCTGGTCGAACAGCAAAAGGTCACAAATTGCATTACCCAATGGTGGAATATTGTATACCAGTGAGTACTGAGCCAGGATTTTTATTTTTTTTTAATGCATTGCTTTTAAATCAACTAGTGTCCATGATTTTATTTGGTTTACTTAGACTTAACCTTTTTTGGGGGAAAAGTCTCTTCCAGGATTACTTAACCCTATTTTTTGTTTTGTTTTAAGTAAACATCTCTAGTATCTTGGATTAATTAATGAAAAAATTTTTATCTTAGAAAATTTAACTTGGTAACTTTTTTGGAGGAGGGGGTTCTGATTTTAAATTTTACTTTATTGGAAACAAACTCTTTTAAGATCTCATACTGACTGGTCTTCATTGAAAATGATATATGATGAAAATCATGATTCTTTTAGACATATTTAAAATAAATTTTATTATATTTCCTTTAGCAAAAATGTGGAAAATGGATAAATTAAAAATATCCTTTATAGATTAGCTCCTGAGTAAGTAACTCTTTAATATTTTTCTAGGCTCTGATTTTGTTAAATTTTTATTTTTATATTTATGCATTTTTTATCCTTATTAAAAATACTTGACATTGTGTATACTAGCTGGCCCCTTATGTTATATAGCATAATMTTTCCCATTRAAAAATATTTAATTGAATTAATTACTATGATTTACCTAACCAATCCCTTAAATTTAGACATTTAGTTTATTTCCAATTTCCAGGTATTATAAACAATACTTACAAATACCTTTGTGAAGATAGCACTTTCCATTTATTATATAAATTTAATTTCCATTGAATAAAACACTAGAAATAGATGGTTTGATTTAGTGAAMATAAGTATTTTTATGGTCAAAATACTTGATGACAAGTTATTTTCTAAAAGAGATCTGTCCTACCTTACATTATTATCAAACTTTGTTAATATGTTAATTTAATCTAGTTCTGCTAGAACTGTATACTGGTTATTATTCTTTTGATCCAAAGCTATCTTTCTCTGAAATTATCTCATTTTCTGGCAATAACTATTCTTTGACTTCCTTCCAAAATGTGCCAAAATTTATTCATAGAGTTGTACATTTTCTTTGGTTTAGGGAATTAAGTTACTGTTTGGATCATAAACCAACAGAAAGGCAACAATACATATAAAATATATGCATATAATTCTCCCATTTTTAGTGTCTTGTCTCAAGTAAATAGGGACTCTATGTGTAGAGAGGAAATATTTAGAAAATATTGCTGAATTTTACTGGGTGAAATACCCATGATGCCTAACTTTAACCAGAAAAAAAATATTCCTCCCAAGAAAATAAATGATTTATTATTATTACTAGTTTATTCATTCAGTCAACAAATTAAAATTGATCATAGTGTCAGGCACTATTATCAAAGTTAAAGTTGGTCACTAGTTACTATTATAAGGACAGATTATAATAATATATGACTTTTACATGTGTGAGTGTGAATTGTGTGTGTGTGTGTGTTAACTCAGGTGACTGAGTGTGTTAACAGGTGAATAAAGAGTTCAGTAGGAATCTGAAAAGTCAGTAAAGCAATATTTGGCAAAGGATAGATCGGTGTAAATTTACTGAGACTGGATGTATCCACTAGCTAGAGATTGTCAGAGTTAGACTTCTGTCCTTCAATAGARACTGAGAGACAGAGATCCTATCCTTGATGATTACATTTCAAAGGAATGGCTTTCAGGTCCTTGAGAAAGATATTTGTGAGCTGTAAGAGAWACATTCACATCTCAAAGGGACAGAGGAAGGRTTTAAAATAGTAAGCCCTTTTTTGTAAATGTTCTTGCAATGATCAGGGCCCAATCATAGCTCTTGGCTAGATCAAACAGTAAATTCTTTTGGCACTTTAAGTCAGGTTGAAGGTGCAGGGGTCATCCTAAGGATGAAGGCTTGAGCTGTCAGAAATTATGTTACTATTTCAAGTCTTTTAAAGGAGTATCAGGTTGGAGGGGTTTGGGTGAAAAAATTTGCTGCATATCTAGTTTTTAATAGGCCAAGGCTTCATCTGAGAACACCACACTTTGGTCAAGGAAAAAGATCTTTTGTCACTAGCGTCAACTCATTTGTCAGTATCCTACCAAGAAAGATAAGATTGCTGATGCTCCTGGTACTTTCTGTTTAGGAGGAAGGGATGTATAACAGTGAGCAAGGAAACCAAGAAATAAGATGATGATAGATTTATATTAAGTGCCTTAGAAATGGATAAAAAGAATAACTAGAGGTGGCACTTTATATAAAGAAATTGGGTAAGGTTGTCCAAGAAGTTGCTATTTGAGTTGAGACTGAAGGTTGAGAGAATCATCTACTTTGTAAGAGTGAGTGGATGGGTATTTCAGAAAGAAGAAACAGTACCCACAGTGCTCTGGAGATGGGCAAAAGGTTGGCATGGTAGAGATGCAGAAAGAAAATGAAAATGGCATTTCAAGGTGGTGGCGACAGAGCATGAAGCCCAGCTCAGGGTTTTCCTGCGTATGGGACCTTTGGCTACTGCACAGGCTACGTGTCTATAAAGTCTACGTTGGGAGAATTTCACAAAGAGTGAATTTTGCCTTTCACAAAAGGGAGAGTGCTAGGACATAGGCTTAAAGAGAAAGGCAGGTAGGTATCAAATTTGGGATTTGGATTAGGAATAAACCTAATATTAGCATTTACATAATAAGAGCTGGAAATTAAGGAGGCATTATAAAGAGTTAATATCCAATTTTAATATATAAAAGTAAATATATGTGATTATAGTAAAGATACATATGTTACTATTTTTCTTATTCTTATTTATTTATTTATTTTTAGTTGTAGATGGACACAGTATCTTTATTTATTTTTATGTGGTGTGGAGGATCCAATGCAATGCCTCACACATAAAAGGCAAGCGCTCCACCACTGAGCTATAGCCCCAGCCCTGTTTTTCTTATTCTTAAATACATTTTTTTTTCCTAATGGTTTTATAATAWACTCAAATAATTTGAAATAAATACATCTTCAACAATCATTGGCCATTGGAGTGTGGTTGAGAATCACAAATATACAAATGAATTCACTCGCATCAAATTTTGAATAAAATCTGTAATTTACCCTTAACTCTTCTTGTTAAATAGTTCTTGCCAAGTCACTGTTATCATGTTGTAGGCAGATTAACCTATAACATACAGGATAATTTCCTTTTCTAAGACGTGCTTTGAAAGGTCCTTTGCTCCTTTCTGAGCTGGTTTGGTGATCCCCTCAGCCTTGCTGCAGATCATCTCTATGTCAGGTTGTTTTGCATCTCATCATTTCACTTTTTTTTTTTTTGAGGTATAGGGGATGGAACCCAAGGTCCCACTTTTGATAATCAAGTTCTATACCATTGGGCAAAGCGTGGCTCCTGACCCTACAACTCTTTATAAAATAACTAGAAATATACATAAATGGAGTCTTTGAAAGGCATACACTTGCATTTAATGATAACAAATGACTTAATATAACTGCTTCCCAAAGTTTATTTTTGTACCCACAGTCTTTGAACTTTTTGCTCTCCTCTTTTAAGTAAGCTGTATTTATGGTTCATCTATCCTTTACCAATCTGAACTCATTTAATGTCTGCTTCAGGAAATGAACTCAAATGTGAATTTATTTGTTCGGGACAGTGATAATAAGCTGTGCTTGAGTGTTAAATGAATCTGACCTTTCCATGAGGATCTAGATGTGTGAATTTGTCATAGCTCATCTCCACTTTTGGTTAAGGCACTACTCCATTCCCATCACCAACTTGATCTCCATCTTCTGCAAGGTCTTTTTTGAGCCTCCTCTCAGTGCTTCTATTGTTAAAAACCTTCTGCAGTTTGTAAACCTTATTTTAAACCCTCCCAACTTCCAAAATATTTCACCAGCATTTCAGCTTATGATTTGTGACAATGTTTGTATTTAAATGTAGGAAGATTAATGGTGTATGAATTAGCTATCATGATTCATGAAGGTATTTTATAATATTGATAATAAAACATTTGTAAGAGGAAATGGAGTGGATTTTTTCTTTCCTTAGGAAATTACTTTTTTAACTCTTATTTTTCCCCACCATTCTGTAATCTAAATTTGTACATTAATAATTTTCATTAGGCTCAATAAAAGATTGTCTTCAGGACATAACGTGACATAGGTTTTATTTAATGTCTGTCACCATTTTCTCTTCTTTCATCCAAATCCTACATTTTTCACAAAAGCAAAACTCTTAACTTTGTAGATGAAATCTTCCCAACCTCCTCTGTCTTTGGACCTCTGGCAAGGACAGTATCTCAAAATGGRAATGAAGAACAAAATCACTCACATCACGATCTTAGAAAGCAGAGAGAAAGAGGAAAAAAAAACAGTCCCATAATACCCTTTGAGGGCACACCCTAGGGACCTCCTACCTGGTCCCACTTTCTAAAGGTGTCACCACCTCCCAATAAGCCTTTAACATATGGACGTTTCATGAACATTCAACATCCAGACTATCTTAGTCAATTATATGTTACTATAACAGAATACCATAGATAGGGTAATTTATAATGAAAAAAAAAACCCTTAAATTTGGTTAATGGTTCTAGAGGCTGGGAAGTTCAGGTTGAAGGGCAAGGACCTTCATGTTGCAGCATTCCTTTGTGAAAAGTAGAAGGGCTAGTTTGGGAATGCAGTCTAACTTATCCTTTCATCATGACCCTACTCCCATGATGACAACTCTCATTATCTAATCTACTCTTAGAGTTCTAACCTCTCAACACCATTGCATTGGAGATTAAGTTTACAACACAGGAACTTCCAGGACATACATTCAAACCATAGTCTAGATGTGTTTCTGGGGACTAGAGCTATAGAGAAAATATAATGGAGAGAAAAAGCCTCTGTGGAGAAATTAAATGAGACTATACAATAATTTTTAGAATAAYTAAATTTATGGATCAAGATAGTGGTTAAAGTTTTCCTTGTAACTTGTGCACTTTGTGAATAAATTCAAGGACTATCATTTATCTTAAGACAGTTACATTTTTTCATTAACAATGTCCAGATCCTAAGTTTCTTTTT